TGATCCTCACTTTCAAAGTTTTTAACTAGAGTCATCCGATCATTTTCTGATTACATCTTAGAAATATATCCAGATTCTATTTCTGTTGATTTATCATTAGACACTTGTAGTCAAAAATATTAATCTTATTCCCAAATTCTTAACCACTAGTACTGCAGTGTATTATCGCCCAGAGTTATCAACTGGAAGAGAAAAAAACAGATGTTCAAGCAGCAGGCAACAATCACTGCCCTTTCACACAGCGGATCTGAGTGGCCACTGAATAGTCCCGGGAATAATTTTAAAAACAAGGAAATTCATGCATTTTAGTAAATATGTTGTAATTTTTCACAGCTGAAATTTCCTCAGCCATTGCACTTTCTTTATAAGGGAACCCCAATTTTAATTCATGTCATGGTGAGTCAGGACTTGAACCAGCAGCCTTCTTTTTCTTCTTCTTACTGTGTTTCTTGTGTTTCTTTTTCTTTTTTGTTTTTTCCTGTAGAGACAATTCCATGTTAGACATTACTAGATGAAAACCTGCAAATTACAAACATCTTTACTATGGTACCAAGCTACCACAGTTATTTCAAACAATCTACACAACCAAGTGAATTACTCAAAACATTTCTCAAAAAGTCTCAAGAACTGGGATATGAGGACTAAGAGTTCTTGATTTTCAGAAAAACCAGGAAACACTCAAGTCACTAGCAAGTTAACATACTGTCTAACAAACATTTCTTGCAAGAAATAAGTTCCACTGCATCATGCTACCAACTGTCATATTTAATGTTAGACAATTTCTAAAGGTAAAGCAACTGCAGTTACTATAAAGGGGTAACCACAGCAAAACACAATTTTTTCTTGTAAAAAATTTCCAAAAGAAAATGGAAATATTATATCTGCTACTTTTAAGTAGACAGGAACACAGATATTGTGGGCTGCTCAGGCTGGTAGCACTACTTTAATTTTTTTTTTTTTGAGTTGGAGTCTCACTCTGTCGCCCAGACTGGAGTGCAGTGGCCGCTCCCGGCCACCGTAGCCTCGACCTGCTGGGTTCCGGTGATCCTTCCGCCTCAGCCTTCCTAGTAGCCGGAATTACAGGCGCACGCTACCATGCCTGGCTAATTTTTTGATTTATTGTAGAGATGAGGTCTCGCCTGCCCAGGCGGGTCTCGAACCCATGGGATCAGGCAATCCACTCACCTCAGCCTCCCAAAGGCGCGGGATTACAGGCTGAGCCACTGAGCCCGGCTTACTTTAATATTAAATTAACATTGACTAATTAGTACAAGATATTGATGTATAGTTGGAAAGTCTATTCTAAGTAACACAGATGCTTGCTTTTTAGAGAACGCTATTGAAGCCTAGTAAAATAGTTAAATTACCAGTGAGTAAAAGTAACCTGGAGTTTTGCTCAACTCTGGTCTCCCAACTACTTTTGTTACTGAAGGCAGTTTAGAAACACTGACACTTGGAAGGTAGTACCCAGCAAGAGATCACTGCTAGCTTTGATATTCAAGAGAAGATGGTCAGAGAGGAGACAGCAGGGTCAGCGGTAGCAGAGCTTCCCACTCACTTCCTATACACCATCCACAACCCCAAATCTCTCAAGGGCCTCACTGCTGTGGCACGAGCCCACTTTCATCACTTTCTTTAGTACGTGTTTAAGTATGCAGGCAACTTCAGAGTCTAAAATCCTGTAATTTGGACTTTTTTTTTTTTTTTTTTTTGAGTTGGAGTCTCACTCTGTCACCCAGACTGGAGTGCAGTGGCTGCTCCCGGCCACCGCAGCCTCGCCTGCTGGGCTCTGGCGATCCTTCCGCCTCAGCCTTCCTAGTAGACGGAATTATAGGCATGCGCTACCACACCTGGCTAATTTTTTGATTTATTGTAGAGATGAGGTCTCGCTGCCCAGGCAGGTCTCGAACCTGCGGGCTCAGGCAATCCACTCACCTTAGCCTCCCAAAGGCGTGGGATTACAGGCTGAGACACCAAGCCCGGCAATTTGGACTTTTAAAACTTTTATGTTTGGGTTCAGGCTGCTACTTCATGCAAGGGCATGCTCGGTTTCTTCTTAGCTTCTGACACCTAGTCTGCTGGTTGTCTTCCGTCACAAAGACTTTGTTTCCCTTCTGGTTCTTCCTCTACTGGACTTTCTGAGGCTTCCTCCCTTCTCTTTCACATGCTCCCCCAGGCACACACTTCGAATTCCACTTAACACCAACGGTGCCCAACTCTTCAAGTCCAGTGCTACACTCTGACCTCACGACTACAAGGTGCCTCATTAACAGCTCTACCCAGATGTCCAGTAGTCATACCAAAATCAGCATACCAAGGTGCTTAACCTCTCTACAAACCCTCTCAGCCATCTCAGTAGATGGCACCACTACATATCATTTTGCTTAAGTCAAAGAACCTAAGCTATCTTTGATCCCACTCTTTCCTTTCATTCACTAGCCACACCCAAAGCACAAAGTAAATCCTATCTTCTAAGACATACTGAACTCCGCACCAGCTCAACTCCATTACACCACTGAAATACAACACATGCCTCACCTGTGTCCACTCGCCTCCCCTGCCAAAGCATTTTTTTTTGAGTAAGGGTGTCACTCTTGCCCAGGCTGAAGTGCAGTGGCGTGATCACAGCTCACCGCAGCCTCAATCTCCTAGGATCAGGTGATCCTTCTACCTCAGCCTCCTGAGTAGCTGGGACTACAGGCATGTGCCACCACACCCAGCTAATTTTATCTATTGTAGAGATGAGGTCTGAGTATGTTGCCCATGCTCGTCTCAAACTCCTGGGCTCAAGCAATTTTCCTGCCTCAGCCTCATCATGTGTTGGGGTTACAGGCGTGAGTTACCATGCTGGACCCCAGAGCATCTTAAAAACGTAAAATATCCGGGTCAAAACAGCTTCTTACAACATTCAAATTAAAACTCAAGCACTCTGCTGTGTGCTGTGGCCTCTGCTGACTTCCACCCTCACTGATGCTGCTCCTCTTCACCCTCTAGGCATAGCCACACTCACTTCCCGGTTCCTCCAACACACCAGACTCACTCCCATGATCAGACCATGGTCGTTCTCTCTCCTAGGGTGTTCTTTCCCTGGATCTTCACATGGTGGGCTCTTTCTTGTAAGCCAGACTTCAGCCGAATTTCACTTCCTCTGAGAGGTTTTCTCTAGCCCTGTCCCAGTCACTTCCTCACATATCATCATGCTCTTCTCTATCTTGCACTCAGTCATATCCTAAGATTTAGAACCTGTCTGTAGAAGATGCTTGATACATACATACTTCTTGAAAGAATGAAACAGTGGAAGTCTGCAAAATATGAATGTGGCTTTGTCTTCATCTGAACCACAGGTGTCTCTACCCAAATTACTTTCATACTCAAAAAAAATTTGTCACCTTGGTCTTGAAGCACATAAATGTTACTTCTGAATCACACTTTATGTGGTGAATCTTCTTATCAGAGATCCCTCACTTAAGAGCCAGGGAAATAAAACGGTTTCCATTTTCTGCCACCTTTCCCTAGGAAGACACCTCCAAAGCCATGGCACATGCTCCTGTGAGGGCCTGGGAATCATGCGGCTGATGCAGTCTGCAACACTCACTAACGACAATCTCTGCTCGCCATTTCTCTCAGCTGGGCTGCTTTCTATCTGGATATGACTTTCATTTCCTCAATTCTCCTCTTCCGGCTTCCTCCTTTTCTATTTCTCAACTTGCATGATGGTAGAGTTGGCTTTAAAAACCATCAAAAGACTCATCTTTATTTTTTAATTCAAAAAAATTTTTTTGAGTTGAAGTCTCACTCCATCGCCCAGGCTGGAGTGCAGTGGCGCACTCACGGCGACCCCAGCATCAACCTGCTGGGCTCAGATGATCCTTCCACCTCAGCTTTCCAAGTAGCCAGAACTAAGGGCACAAGCTACCATGCCCAGCTATATATATATATCTTTTGATTTATTGTAGAGATGAGGTCTCGCCAAGTTGCCCAAGCTGTTCTCAAACCCATGGGCTCAGGCAATTCCCTCATCTCAGCCTCCCGAAGTGCTGGGATTATAGGTTTGAGCTGCCGTGCCCGGTCAAGACTCATCTTTATTAATGAGTCATATTCTTGCATATTTTTCATTGTAGCTAGTGCTCAGATCTGGTTGATCTGAAAGTATTATTGAAGATTGAGGAAATCACTATACTTTAGTCTCACATGCATATTAGAGCTTAAGAAAGTCAAACAGAAGTTTGAATTCATATTTATAACAGTAAAACTCTGAAATAAAAACAGGAAATGCTTGTGGCCAGGGCATTCTTCTTTTTCCTGAGCCAACTTGACTTTTCCTTGCCCATCAGGTGAAGATGCTGACACCACACCTTTCCCAATAAGTATTTATTTGGGTCCAGAAAACCCCATCACGCTTTACCAGGACTCCTTTTTATGTTAAACCAAAATGGCCATACTATTGTCATGAGAAAACAGTAAGAGATACTTGCTGTTGCTTTTTCTCGTTCTTCACTGCTTTTCTTCTTTTTTGCTCGTATCTAAAAAGTTTAAACGTTTGGGGAGAACAGAAGACAAACATGTAATTTGTGCTCAAAGTATTTTTTTCATTCTCTAATACAAGGGGACCCCAAAAAACCCGGGATTATCTTTGAGGGTGGGTCCGTTATAGTACAGGCTTCCCCTGCTAGGTAAATGCTCTTTCCAGAAACTCATCAGGATCAGTGTACCAGCTAGCATTGTTGTGAGAGGTCACATTTGGCTTCACTGAATCTTTTTTGGAGATTCTTTCCACACACTTCCCCATTTTATCATGGGTGATTTACAAGCCTACCTGCCCACACCACGCTGAGTGTATAGCAGTTTTGTAACAAAGTCAGCATGACCCCTGTGCCACACCCTCCCTATTCACCTGATCTTGCCCCAAGTGACTTTTTTTTGTTTTTCTGGATGAAAAAATTTTCAAAGGAAAATGTTTTCCTGATGTGCAAGTGGTGAAACAAAAAATGGCAGAGACCCTAAAAGGCAACAAAATCAATGAGTTCAGAACTGTTTTGAGCAGTGAAAAAAAGATCCTTGATAGGGGTATTGCATCAAATGGAGAGTATTTTGAAGGTGACTTAAATATGTAAGAATACACAATTTTTCATAAATAAATTCCAGGGTTTTTTTTTTTATTCCCCTTCGTATATCTTGCATCTTAAAAATTATATGTAAAATACATTTTGACAATCAAAGGACATTTAAAATAACTGCATTATTTCTCAGTGAGGTTTCAATTAAGAAAAATAAAGTCGGCTTCTCTTATATTCTCTTTCGGCACTTCTAAGAAAGCAGAGTGGTACGGTGGAAAAAATGGCTCCGAAATAAGACAGACCAAGGTCAGATGCCACCTCACTCACATCATCTGTAAAATGGAGATAACATCCACTCTCCAGGGGAAATGCCATGAACACTGTGGTATTTTTCTCACTCTGTGGCGCTCAACAGATGGCAGCTCTATACAGAGTGCACTCAGTATAAGCCAATTAATTAAAATCCTGTTAAGTCACAATTACTACCCCATTTAAATTTTACTTCAGTCTTTTAAAGTGTGGTACACTGGATTTAAATTAAATTGAAAGTTGTTAAAGCTCATGTATATTACATGTTAAGTCCAAATGTTAAGAGTTTATATTAAAATGTAGCAAACATAATTAATATAAAATAATATTGAAGTATAAAAATTGCCTAATGGCTGTTTGAACTGAACATAGAAAAGCATAAGATGGTCTCATGTTGAATTGTTTGGTTTTCTTGCCAAGTAACTACAATACCAAACACATGACACAAATATGTGAACATGTAATTAACACTATACGGAAGCATAAGAACTAAACAAACAGGACACATAAGAAGGGAGAGAGCGTGAACTCCCAGCAGTAGCAGTAGCTCTCTTTGGAGAGCAGCTAGGAAGTTACTGATTTTGTTGTCATTCTTGTCGTTACGATGACTGGGGGTGACAGGAGATGCACTGCACCCACACTTAGCCAGGCAGAGGTGAGGGGTACAGTCACGCACCGTCCTCAATGGCCCTGCCTGTCCTGTATGACTTTTGAACAGGCTGTTAAGCATTCATAGAATTAATCTGTTTATAATACAGAAACTAAATTTATTATAAATGTGAACACAAAATATTTTGTGCAGGATTTTAAGATGCAACGCATGCCCCAGAAATGTAAGCATCATAACATGGAAGACTGCATTTTATTTTTTTCAGAGTTTTACTAAATCTTGTCCACCATTCTGAAAGACATCAAGGGCAATGCTGCTGCATGGTTCTGAAGGGCGTACATAATGCACACGACACAGTCTGCACTTTGTTTTGTCTTAAGATTTTATGTCTTCTGGTGTTATCACACTCAGCATTGAAATTACATATTATTATTTGTTCAGATACAGGGTCTTGCTCTGTCACACAGGCTAGAATGCAGTGGTGCAATCATAGCTCACCACATCCATAACCTCTTGGGCTTAAGTGATCCCCCCACTTCAGCCACCCAAGTATCTGGGATTGCATATATGCCCAGTTTACACATTATCACTTACTTTCATGTTTTCTTTATATTTCTGTTAGAAAACAGTAATATAAAAAAATGTGTGTAGTAGTACACATTAGCTGCAAATTTCATTCAGGGTGCAATATAAAATACTGCTATAAAAGGGGGGCAATAAATCTGACATGACTGAGTAGTCACTGCTACAGACCAAAGACAATGAGGTCAGAAGGGAGACAGGCAGGAACAAACAAGATGGCAAGACTCATGGAGTGGGGCAAAGAGTTGGGCAGGGGTGGAACAAGGGGAGGCTGACACAGACAGGAGATGGAGGGATGAGGAAGAATGGACAGGTCTGGGCATAGCTGGAGCAGGGGGAGGCTGACACAGATAGGAGATGGGGCTTTGGGGATAAGTGGAGACTGCTGAGCAGGACAGGGAATGGGGGACTACATCTTATCATCATTCTAGTCCTCCCAAAGTAGCTCAAAACAAAAACAAACAATAACAAGAATTATGTAACCCAAACTGAGACATGATGTGCAACATTCCATTTTAGGCGCTAAGGTATGCTGGGTTTCAATACACTGTACATTATACAGTCTACTTCATGTAATAAGAATGGTAGCACAATAAAAACAAAATATTAGAAGAATAAAATATCTCAGACTGGAAGGGTATGTGGAAACATGGTTAACTATCAAAAGTATTAGTGATATAATTATATTCTAGATAAATACAAAACTTATTCTGAAACAAAATAACTTTCATTCCTTTTTTCATCCTAGAAAGGTGAATCAATCAAATATTTAGACAGTACTTCTTTGTGCTAATTCATATTTATTAAATTAACAGCTAAACATTTTGAAGTAGAGAAAAGGGATTTGACCATATACTCACCTCCTCAATATACTCCGCTTCTGATAAAGACTCAGATGACAAAGGTTTATCTTCAGGATACATCTTTCTTTTTTTGCTGAGACCTTTAATGTCCTATGGAAAAAATACATGTATCTTGACTCAAAAAGATATGCTGTACCATACAAATTTTATGCTTCTAAGTTCTCCTTAATGATTCTTTTAACTGTCACAAAAATTACCCATTTTGCTCGGTGGCTCAGCCTGTAATCCCGCGCTTTGGGAGGCTGAGGTGAGTGGATTGCCTGAGCCCATGGGTTTAAGACCCGCCTGGGCAACTTGGCGAGACCTCATCTCTACAATAAATAAAAAAAAAATTAGCTGGGTGTGGTAGCGCGTGCCTGTAGTTCCAGCTACTTGGAAGGCTGAGGTGGAAGGATCGCCGGAGCCCAAGAGGTTGAGGCCGGGAGTATGCCACTGCCCTCCAGCCTGGGCGACAGAGTGAGACTCCAACTCAAAAAAAAAATAAAATAAAATAAATAAATAAATAAATTACCCATTTTTATTTTAGAGATGTCTAAAAAGTGACATTTACCAGGATTTAAGTCTTTACTTTTGCTAAAGCAATGCTTTTATTAAATAACTTGACAAGAAATAGCTACACATTCATTAGATGCAATGTCCTCCATATTTTCCAAGGTTATATAGAACAGACTTCCAAAGAGTCCTAAGAAACCATGCAGATGGTGTAAGATTTTGGTCCTTTGTATTCTAATTATTTTGTTTCTACCCATGGTTGGATCAGACAAGCCTAGCACTGCAGAAAAAAAATCAAAGGGTGATTATTTGCTGTGATCTAAAAGGATCTCTACATAGCAATTTAAAAAAATCTTAATCTCTAAGTGTTTTTATTGTTGATAAAACGAATAACTCTAGGGAAGGACAGGGGACTGAGATTGGGAGGCGTACTTACATATTTTAAGAAATAAAAATTATGAAAACACCTGAAGCAAGCATGGCAAAATGTTAAGATTTATTAGAGCTGCATAGTGGATATGTTGGTTATTTTATGATTTTCTACATGAGTTGTCTGTATTTTTCAATTAGTTCTTAATAACAAAAACAACAAAACCACGCAATGGAAAAATGCTCACCATTTATCTTGCACAACAAACCAGTATATAAAACTTTTTATATAGCATGAGACCAATTTTGAAGACAAACAAAAAAAAGTCATGCAGGAAATAAACTAACAGCAATGACTCTATATGCTAGATTATAGGGGATTTTGTTTTTTTCTGCAAAGAGCTTTACCATTTTGGTTGAAATGATAAATGTCCATTGTCAAAGATGTACCTAAGTCTCACTAGCAGAGATTAAACATCATTAAGATTTTTGGAAACATCTCTGTGTATGTTTACAATTTTACATAAATACTTGCTGTTTGGAATTCGCTCTTCTCACCTAATCATATCTTTTTATGCCAACTACATTGTCATTTATGGTCACTGGTTTTTTTTTTTTTTTTGAGTTGGAGTCTCACTCTGTTGCCCAGACTGGAGTACAGTGGCCACTCCCGGCCACCGCAACCTTGACCTGCTGGGCTCCAGCGATCCTTCCGCCTCAGCCTTCCAAGTAGCTGGAACTACAGGTGCGCGCTACCACGCCCGGCTAATTTTTTGATTTATTGTAGAGATGAGGTCTAGCCAAGTTGCCCAAGTGGGTCTCGAACCTGTGGGCTCAGGCAATCCTCTCACCTCAGCCTCCCAAGGCGTGGGAATACAGGCTGAGCCACTGAGCCTGGCTATTTATGTCCACTTTTGACATTCATTGAAAGTATATGCTAAAATTTACTTAACTTATCTCCTTTGGGGGGGGGGAAGCAGACATATGGGTTCTTTGCTATTAAAGACAAAGCTGAAATACATAAAGGATATGAGAATGCAAAGTCCTTATTTAATAATTATGACCCAAAAGACCAAAGTAACTTTCACACAAATGATATTCTTGCTCTCCCAACCACCTCAAAATAGTTTCTTATTTGTCACCCTTTACCACAGTTTAGCAAAAAGCCCCCTTCTCAGGCTCTTTATCAATCATATCAATCTCAGGTAACTGGAAAAGTTTGTATTTTTTTAGAACTGTCTAAATGTGTATTTGCCAATTTGTGTATGTGTCACAGTTTTTCCTTAACTATTAAAGATCATTTAATTTTTGTCATATCTATTCTTAGACTTTTTCTTAGTCTGTTCATTATATTTAATCTTTGTTCATAGTTTAACTTTTGTAATCTTTTTGCCATTCAGAATTTAAAATATGCGGTCAAAAGTTTTATCTTTTCCAAATGGCTAGTAATTTTGTTCCAAGAAATGCCACCTTTATCATATATTAAATTCCAGAAACATTGTTCCATTATTTTGTCTATTCCTGTACCAGCTTACTACATTGTATTAATGAAAACATTTTAATAATGTTTTACTATCTAGTAAGAGAAGTCAGACTCAGGAATATGTTATGACTCTCCATTTATTCTATCTCATATGTATATATATATATATATATATATATATATATATATTTTTTTTTTTTTTTTTTTTTTTTGAGTTGAAGTCTCACTCTTTCGCCCATGCTGGAGTGCAGTGATATGCTCACTACCACCCCAGCATCAACGTACTGGGATCCAGTGATCTCCCCGCCTCAGCCTTCCAAGTAGCTGGAACTACAGGCTCAGCTAATTTTGTGATTTATTGTAGAGACAAGGTCTTGCCAGGTTGCCTGTTTGTCTCAAACCTGTGGTTTCTGGTGATCCACTTGCCTCGGCCTCCCAAAGTGCTGAGATTACAGGCTGAGCCACCGAGCCCAGTCTTCATATATGTTTCTAAACAGACTTATATGGTTTTCTTCAAATAAGTTCCACTTTAAAAACCACCCAAACAGAAAAATGGGCAAAGACTATGAACAGGTAAATGCAGAAAAAATGAAATATAAACCGTTACATTTGAACAACTGAAGAGACTCAAACCATTTGTAGACATTACATTAGCAAAAATGAAGTCTCCCAGTGTTAACAAGTACATGAAACAAAGGTACTTTAATACACTATTAGCGAGAATCCAAATTAATAACAAGTGCTTTGATGAGCAAAATGTTGACAAATCAAATGTATGCATATCCTAGAATCTAGAAATTATAGTGTCAAGTATGTTGTGGAAAACTAACAATAACTTGTGGAAAAGAAATGGGTAAGAAATATACATTGCCACACCGTTTACATTACTGAAAAACAAAAATAATCTAGATCGCCATAAACAGCAGCATGCAGAAACAATTTGTGGTGAATCAATGTTAAGGAATACTTTAAGCTAAAATTTGAAAGCATCAACAAGGATAAACATCAAGAGTAATGTTGAGTGAAAAAGACAAGTTGCAGAAGGAAATGGTATCATTTTGAAAATATGCAATGCTGTTGAACACATGCTGATGTAATAAAAGTACATGCATGGGCGGGTTCGGTGGCTCAGCCTGTAATCCCGTGCCTTTGGGAGGCTGAGGTGAGTGGATTGCCTGAGCCCGCGGGT